TTATTTCAAATGGTTGTGACTCTGAAACTAATATAAATTTTTCAAAAATCATAGTTGAACCACTGTACAGAGGTATGAGCTATATACAGGAAAAATATCATTACAATAGAATCATTTTTCACAAAAGGAGAACATTTTGAAAAAAAGGTTATTCTAAGTTAATTTTTAGCCGAAATATTTTATTTAAATAATTTTTTTTTTTGTCAAAATGTTCTTAAAACAATTTTATACATGTATTCTAATCTAAGAGACACTAAATATCATGAAATTCATCCATTTATGCGCTTTTTTAAAATCATGGTTCTGACCGTAGTCGGATACCTTAAGCTTAATTCTTGCAAGAAACGCTGAGTAGCTGGTCACTGCTTTAATAGAATTTAGGCTGTCACTTTATAAGTCCTAATTAACCTCATTAAATTTAGTCAATAAATCTATTAAATGGGTAAAATCTGATTTCCATTTGATTAAATTTTATTTTAAAATTAAAGTCACGATCTGGTTTAATTAGAACCACTGTTGTAGACTCCCATTCACCCTTCATGAACTTCCAAATTATTTTTTTGCTTTCATGGACCCCTTGCAGGTCATTATAGACTCTTGGGGTCTATATACAGTACCGGTATATCCATTGAGCGCTTGAAACGGGCACCCAAGGGGCAAGGAAAGCCTGAATATGCTGGACTACTTATAAATTTCGATCCTCCAGTGCCAAGGGTCTCGTAGATCTTCTGCACCCGGAGCCCAAAATGAGCTGAAATCGGCACTGTCTGTATTGACTACTTTGGGAATCATTGTGCTAGATTATCGAATGTCATATTTAGTTAATAGGCTTAAAATCAATTATAGAGCTAAGACTTAAATGTAAAATAAACTGTTAGTATCGAAATTACAAATACAGTGAAATACGTTTAACGCTTAATATTTTCATAACTCGTCTTCCAGGATCCACAAATAATTCACTATAGTGAGAATTATTATTGATTGCAATTGATTATTATTTTTCAAAGTTAAATAAACAAGCTTTGAAGGAATTTGTGTTCTGTTTTAATTTTAGCCAAGTGAATTTGATATGGGTTCGCGTTTTATGTTGCCAAGTGCATAATATTAAATAGGTGTAGCTTAATTTTTATCGTCTGTATGTTGCCATGGGGATAATATTACAATAACTGTTACATTTTTTTCCGCTATAACGTGTTCATTTCAGACGATATCTTTAAAAATTTAACATTTTCAGTTTAATTTCTATTTGTCTTCGTTTAATTATGACCACTTTCGAATAGGATATTTCAAAATGAGTGAGTACTGGAATATTTTCTTAGAAGAATATTGTGTTAACCATAAATAGTTTATTCGTTTTAAATGTTTTTTTTACGTTCTTTGTCCGATGAATGTATGGAACTCACTATTTGTAATTGATATTTCTAAATTAATTAATACATTGTAATATTTTTTCTTATGAAAAAATGCAGTTATTACTATGTTAATCATCCTATAATATTTATTATTTATTAATTGTTTTTTTAGCATTTATTTATAACTATTATTACATATTTTGTTATTTATTTATAATTAATATTGTTATTTATTTATAGTAATTATATTTAATTATAATTTATTATCTTATTTAATTATAATTATTATCTTATTTATTTATAATTATCTTATTTATAACTATTTCTTTTGTTTATTTATAACTATTTCTTTTGTTTATTTATAACTATTTCTTTTGTTTATTTATAACTATTTCTTTTGTTTATTTATAGATATTTTTTGTTTATTTATAACTTTATTTTTGTTTAATTATAATTATTATCTTATTTATTTATAGCTATTTCTTTTGTTTATTTATAGCTATTTCTTTTGTTTATTTATAGCTATTTCTTTTGTTTATTTATAGCTATTTCTTTTGTTTATTTATAGCTATTTCTTTTGTTTATTTATAGCTATTTCTTTTGTTTATTTATACTTATGTATTACGAGTTCTCTTATGCATTATTTTTATTTTTTTTACAATTCGATGATTATTCTTTTTAATAATTACTATTTAATTATATTATATGATTATTATTTCTAATCGTTATAAAATCGTACTATATGAATATTATATATAATTACGATAAAATAATATTATAAGATTATTATATGCTGCTTATATATAATACTATTATTAGTTCATGTTACTTTTTATTACATAATATTATTATTCATTATTTATTGATTGATCTAGGTTATTCTCAATCTCTTCCTATATTTTTTATTTGAAATACATTTTAATGTATTTCAAAACAATTCTTTTAAATTATTGTATATCATTAAATTACCGCTAGGCCGCCATATTGGATTTCATTCCAGCAACAAGAAGCGCTGCTTGGCTGATCCTTATCACGCCAAGCAGCACTTGGCGCTATTGCCCCCGTTATCAAATTAGTTCCATTTTAGCCCTGAAGAGAGCGGCGCAGACTCTTAGCGCTGAAGGTGGGACAAAGGCACGCCATTGCCATAATGAAAGTATTAAGACGAATATCGGTTAACACGAAATAATACAACTGTCCCGACAAACTACTATGTATTTTCATCTTACTATGTTTATTCTTTTAAAATGAAATAAAAATCGTTTAACACAAAAAAGATTTCCCTTCTGGGAATGAACAAAATACAAAAACACTAGCCTTGTAGCCGAGATTTAAGAGGGATGTGAAATGAAAGAGAGGTGGTTTCATATGTTTCGTAGAAAGGGGGCTAACAGGTCTTTGAAATACCCTCGAAATAGCCTGTGACATGAGCCAGTTTTGTTTTATCTAAGCTACTTTCACCCTCCACCCCTACAAATGCCACGGGCTGCAGCAGCTCAGTGGTCAAGGTATCGGATTCATGGCAGGCATGTCATGAGTTCGAGCCCAGTACCACTAAAGACCCACCTTGTAGAGCAGCGATGCACATTAAATCTGTCGAGAGCTGAAACGACCTCCCACTGGTGTGGTGCGGTAGTTAGGAGAGGGAGTCCTCGTCACTTGATCATGGTTCAAAATTACGAGGTGCGTCACCAAAAGCCCTGGTGTAGCTGAACAGTGCGACGTTAATATTCAATACGCACAAACGCTACACAAAAACATCCCATCTCTCATTAGTTGGTTTTGGAATTCGGTGGCGAATACATCGAATTATGAGCAAAAAGCAGTGAGTTTGGTTTGCATTATTTTTTCTATTTCAGAATTTTTTTGCTAACCTAGTGGCAAAAAGCTCAGGGGGAGAGCAAACTTATTTCTGTTAAAATGAAGAGATTATTGATCAAAACAGAAGACGCGAAAACGGAAATCTGTAAAAATGTGGGTATTTCTAAATTTTGAATTAAATTTCATTAAGTTCTTTTGAATGTTTTTGTTTCATTGATTTTTATTAAGTGCATGCATTATATAATAAAATAAAAGTGAAAAAGTTGTAAAACCTACAATATATATATAATGTACTCTAATTAATAAAATTTTGTTAAATATATATTACAGTATCTTTTAACACGAAAAATATTTCAGTTCCCTCACTTTCGTGTAAAACGATTTTCACTGTGTAGCTGCTATTTCATTTTAAATCTTTCAGATGTTATTTGTCGTTTAGTGTATAATTGGATGAAAACTAATTTTGTAATATCAGAAACGTCAGTTCTGATATTACAATTAATAGTCCTGTATAAAGAAATCCCTTGATATATTGCTATTGTTTGCAAAATTTTTGTGCGAAGTATCATTTTCGGGAATTTTTTTTTACTGAAAAAAATACACTTTTTCTAATTTTTTCTTCAAAAGCCAATTTTTTTGCCTCACCTGTTGATGTACCCTAATAAATTGCGATAGGTGTGTATACGCATCAGTTCAAGAATCCATGATGTTGACAATATTATAAATAAACTCGTAAAAAACACAAAAATACTATTAATGCCTCTCCTGTTGAAAGATCGTGAGGATTTGCTATACATTTTACGAAGGGTTCGCTCTGTGGCAGTGAGGTAGCGTGCTCGCCTCGTAAGCCCAAGATTGCAGGTTTGATCCCGGCTGGAGTCGAGAGGTTTTCTGGATGCAAAAATCGTAGGCATGCATGTCATATGATTATGTGGCACGTAAAAGATCCCTTGAGTATCAATTGGCTCTGGTACTCTCGGCAAAATTAAATCATGGCAATGTTTAACCTCCGACAAGAGATGGAATTGAATAAAATAAAAAGGTCAAAAAAATTTATTAGTGGAAGCCGCCACGAGATGGTGGTGCTCCCAATAAAAGCTAAGCAATTTGGCTTAGTTGCCGAAATAAGCCCCTTTGAAACAAACATGTTTGACGAAGATGGCGGTGTGAAAGAAAACGTTTGCATCATGTATAATACCATTATATCCCGTTCAGGAAAACTGGTTGTAGGAAAAGATCTGTCATACTTTGTGATCGGCGAAGTTCAATTCTAGTCAAGACTCCCATCAGGTAGAACCTTTTGTGGCTTATTTCTTAGACCAGAAGCTTTTATTCTACTGAATGGTATTCATGAAAATCTGAATTAGTACTTAACAATCAGTTTGAATGACAATTCTGTGAAATTCGCCTTTCAAACATTAGGCTCCATCGGAAAGAATCTTGGAGTTGCGTATTGGAATTTACTATTGTAGACCTAGTACATTCCCCGGGAGTTGGTATAAATTGAAGTGCAGAACCATATACGTAGAATACCAATCGCCACAATGTAATTTTGACGCCAGGTTTCTCCCCAGACGGAGGCACCTAAACTCTGATAATGCGAAATGGTACTACGAATTTAATTTTACTTACAGCAGCCAAGCCAAAACAAGCTCTCTAGGCACACTTTTAACATGCCACATAATCACATGAGATAGAAGCTGTCGCATTTCAGCTGTCGGCATCATGAAAATCAATCGGCTTGGGCCGAGGTCGAACCTGGAACCTTAGACGTACAAGACCAGCGACAAACCAGCAACGCCAGCCAGCGAAACTACATATAAAGTCAGCCACCAATGAGGTTCGAACTCACAACACTTGGTTTACGAGATCAGTGCTCTAGCCACTGAGCTATGGTGCCATAAAGTGCCAACCGCACTTGGGGCTCCCAGGTGGTCGTCCTCTCAAGAACTGACCTCGCCCGATGATACTTAACTTCGGTGATCGGACGAGAACCGATGTTTTCAGGATGGCAATGGAGTGAGTGAGTGAGTGAATATTAACGTCGCACTGTTCAGCAACACGAGGGCTTTTGGCGATGGACCTCGTAATTTTGAACCATGGTCAAGTGACGTGGACGACACCTGAGCTGGCACCCCCTTCTCCTAACCACACGATACCAAAGGGAGGACGTCTAAGCTCTTGACAGATTTAACATACAACGCCCCCCAGCACGGTGGATCTTTAGTGATATTGGGCTCGAATTCCTGACATGCCAGCCACGATCCTATACCTTGACCACTAGGCTACCACTGGTCACACTTTGGCAATGGAAGGAGGTGATTAAATTCTTTGCGTTGTTAAATATATAAAACGTAAGATCGCATATAACTTTTGATAAGGTATACGTTTTTGCCTACGGTGTGTATGATAGAGAATGAAAGCTTAAGTGATAAGGATCACATTTTATGCTTAAAATTGTTACATTTAATTTCAGCCACAATTATGTGTAGCATTGAGGGCATTTCATAAGAATAAGAATTTTTGAATAAAATATCGTGTGTTGCCAGAACCAACCTTCAATCTGAGTAATCAGAAAATGTATGTTAGGAAAGATAAGAGTGAAAACTGGAACACGAGGTAGCATCTGGCAACAACCAAGAAAACATTGCTTTTCTATTTCAAAAATGATATGTTGAAACTGTTCTTGAAATTTAAACATAAAGGTTTTCAGCCAAAAGTTTTTTTCAATACCAACTTCCCAAATTTGTGTGATTCAATTCTGTATACTGATTTGTCTTTTGTTTATATTGGATCATGAAACTTTAATTATTATGATTATCATTCTTAAGAAACATAAAATGTTTCTAATGTTCGAGGATATTCAACCAAATTGTATTTATAGCCTTACAAGCTAGTATACCCGTTCTTCGCACGGGTGAATTGAAAAATAAAACAGTAGAGATTAAAGCATAAAAAAATTTTCAATGTAATAATTTCCAGTTGATTTCAAATTAAACAAAAACAGAGGTTTTTAGGTTTTTTTTACCAACAAAAATTATATTTTAAGTTTTTGGGATTCAACCCGGTTTTTAAAAGGCATAAATGGATAATTTTATGATATTAGTCTCACTTAGATTAGAATACATGTATAAATTTTTTTAAGACATTTTAAAAAAAAATTTATTAAAATACAATTTTTTGGAAAAAAAATTAATTAGAATAATTTTTTTTCAAATTTTTCTTTTTTAAAAAAAATGCTTTAAAAAATAAAATATTTCTTTATAAAGAAAAAGACTTTCGAGAGTCTGAAGGGGATTTTAAAAAATTACATTTTTTCCCCAGAGTTACCCCCAATTAAAAGTTTCGGGGATTTTTTAAAAGTCCCTTTTTGTCGAAAAATATGGATCCAATTTTAATTTATATATTTTTTAGTTGAGCCCCTGTAGAGGTCTGACAAAACAAAAATAAAAATTATAATAAAGTATTTTTTCAAAAAGGAAAATATTTTAAAAATGGGTCATTCTATGTTCTTTTTTTTGTCAAAATATTGTAAAATAATTTTTATTGTAATACTATTTTTAAAACAATTTTATAAAACATTTTCTAATCGAAGTAATAAATATCATAAATTATCCATAAATACACCTTTTAAAAAAATCAGGGTTTCCCAACGTATTTTGGGTTTATTTTAAAGTCTGTAGAGGTCTTATATTTGAAAAAAGGATTCTTTTAATCTATAACGCCCCCGTAACACCCATGTGAGCGCTTAAAAACCCCCTTCAGTTGATTTCCAGGAAGTTCGTTCTCTAAATTTCAAGATTGTAGGTTTAGTAATTGATAAAGGGGAATTTTTTATAAAATTTTACCAAACTCACCCTTTGGGGTTTAATTTAGAAAACACTTTATTCGGATTCACTCATGAAAAAAACCCCCAAAATTTTTGTTGGTTAAGTTAAAAAAAAAATTTTTCAAAACGGCTTTAATCCCTTTGTCCCCTCTATTTTTTTTAAACTCAATAAAAAATTTTCCAAATTCCCAAGGTTTTTAAAAAAATTTTTTTTTAAAAAAACCCCAAACCCTTTTCAACCCCTTCTTTCCAAACCCCTTTTTTAGGGATCTTTAATAAAAAAAATTTTCCAAATTGTTTTTGGGAAATTTTTAAAAGGAAAAATTTTTAAAAGGTTTTTCCCTTCTCCCCCGGGGGTTATTGAAAAAAAACCTTTCTTCAATTTTTTTGAAAAAAAAATTTTTTTTAAAGGTTTTTTGGGGGGGGGGCCTTTTGGGGGGTGAATGCAAAAATTCAGCGTGGTTTTTTGAAACCCTTCCAAACCCCTTTTTTAATCACCAAAATTAAAAAAGGGGGGGCCCTTTGGAAATTTAAGGGGGGAGAAAACCTCCCGGGGTTTAAAAAAAAAAACCAAAAATTTGGGGGGAAAAGAAAAAAAATCCACGGTTATTTCTTGGGAAAAAAGTACTCCCCCCCCTTTTTTCCACCCAGAACTTTTTACCAAAACAAATTTTTTTTAAGCCAGTTAGGGGGAAAACAAACTTTTTTTTTTTTTTTTTCGTAACTTCTCAACCCTTCTTTTTTGAAAACCACCCCTTTTTCCCCTTTTCAAAAAAATTTTATACCTCAATTTTTGAAAATTTTGGGGGTTATTTTTAATTTCCAAGAAATTTATTAACATTTTTACAAATCCTTTTTTCCCCCGGTTTTTCAAGGTTTAAAACCCCCGGGGGGTGGGGGGGTTAAACTAAAATTTTAAACATTAATCCTTTTTTTTTTGTCAACCTTTTTTAAAAAATTTTTTTTTTTTGGTTCCCAAAAACTTTTTTTGAAATTTTTTTTGTTTTTGAAAAAATTTTAAAAAATTTCATTTTTTCTTTTGGCATTGATTTTTTTAGGTTAGTGAATCAAATTTAAGCATTATCAAAGCAAGTAATGTGCACAGTGCTACTTTAACTGTCAAATTGTTTTTTCTGTCGTTTTCAAGTTACTGATATTATTTAAAATGGCACACACAAAAATATTATTACCATAAATAGTTGGATTATCAAATTTGTTAATCATACTACATTTCTCTACATTAGAACATATAAAACACGAATAAATTTTACTTATTAGTGTTTATTATTTAGAACGTTTTTATCAAATGTATCATCTAGAAAAAGTAAGTACTAAAAAATAACATTTTATACTGAATGTTGAGAGATTTAAGATTCAGCCTTTAAGGTATCCGACTACGTTCGGAACAGTGATTTTGCAAAAGCGTATAAATGGATAATATTTATGATATTTAATGTCACTTAGATTTAAAAATGTATATAAATCTGTTTTCAGACTAGTATTACAATAAAAAATTATTTAAGTAGAATATTTCAGCTAAAATTACTTAGAATAAACTCTTTTCAAAATGTTCTCCTTTAGTGAAAAATGCTTCTATTATAATAATATTTTGCCTGTCTATAGCTCAGACCTCTGTACGGAAGCTCAACTAGAATTTTTGAAATATATAACTTAGAAGTGGGTTTATCCATGTTTTACGACAACAGAGGGGAGAAATTTTAAGAAAAAAACGCCGATAATTATTTCAAATGATTGTAACTCTGAAAATAATGTGAATTTTTCAAAATTCAGAGTTGAGCCTCTGTACAGAGGTCTGAGCTATATACAGGCAAAATATTATTATAATACAAGCATTTGTCACAAAAGGAGAACATTTTGAAAAAAGTTTATTCTAAGTTAATTTTTAGCCGATATATATATATATATATATATATATATTGTATTTAAATAACTTTTTTTTTGCCAAACTGTCCTTAAAACAATTTTATACATGTGTCCTGATCTAAGTGACACTAAATAGCATCAAAATTATCCATTTATATGCCTTTTTAAAATCACGGTTCCGAACGTTGTCGGATACCTTAAAGAATTGTTCTAAAATAATTTTTGCACTATAATACAAAGGTTACAACGATTTATTTTGTTGAAATTGAAATCCTTCTGTTATTTCGTTTGTCTACATAAGTGTTTATAACTGAAATTAACAAGATAAAAATATTTTAAAAAGACTAAAAATAAAAAAAGGACATCCAGACTGTGAACCAATTATTCAACTCCAACTGTTAGCTCACACTCTATATATTTATCTTGTTCAAATTTTCAATCGTTAATAAAATACTTTCTATTCATCCAATCATGTGCAAATAATTTTTTAACTTGTAGTGGATGACACTTGATATTAATACAATTTTTCAAATATTAATTCATTAAGTTTTATTTTTTATTTTTAAGTTTATTCTGTGTTATTTCCGTCGTAGTTACAATTAGCTGCAACAGATGAAGCCAATGTTTTTCTAACAGAGTAGGAATTGACGTTAAAAAAAATTTATATATTATTTTTATTTAAATGTTTTTAATTTGCATTCATAACAAATTCTGAGTTTGAAAAAGTATAAAAGAAGTCTTCTGTTTGAGAAAATCGTTTTCTAAATAGATGAAATGAAAATAACCATATGCTGTGCTACTAAATGAAACTAAAGTTTCGATTAATTTTATCATGCTAATTTTTATTATTAATATGGTACGACTTTATATTAAAATGTTTATTATAAAAAAACTATAAATTCCTGGAAAATAATTTTTACTTATTGTGAGTTCCATCACTTTGTTTTTCAAATTTTTCCTGTTTTAAAACATTTATAATGCATACAACTTAATTTGCTTTAAACAGTTCTTATTAAAAATGTTCCTCGTATATATTTTTGTAAACTTTTTGTCTCAATTCATTAAAGTGTGACAATGATATACAGTCGAACCTCCATATTACGAACCTCTTTATTGCGAATTTTTCTATATAGCGAGCTTTTTCCTGGAATCAAAAACATTTCACGATTTTCTTCGTAAAATAACCTCCTAATAGCGAAGTACATTTTCTATGTAACGAACTTTTCTCTTGTGATTAATTCTTCTTCCTATTTTTGAAGTATTTCTGAACACATTTCAAGTTGTGAACACATTTTATGGTG